TTTATGTCTCAGGCAAGATTACTATCTAATTGACATTTGTATTTTTATTACATGAATATAAGGTAATAAAACCGACAGCGTCACTATTTACTTAATTTTATTGAAGATTTCAAAATACAGAACAGCTGTTTCAAATTCATTTCAAATTACAGTACTCTACAATTTAAATTACTGAACTGTGTACAATTCAAATGTTATAATACAGTACTGTACATAAATATTAAATTCAATTTTATTTATATAGCACATTTAAACAATGATACATTGTCTCAAAGCACTTATTGTGGTTTTGCTGCTGCATCTCTTTGGCTCGTTTGTGGCGGTTTATCATAAGCTGTGATGAGTCTATATTGGTCATTGAGAGAAAATGACTTTCTTTTTCTAGTTATGTTTTTTGTGCTTGCAGCATGAACCTTAATTAGCTAGCCAGAAGCAGATCGGTTACTGCAAGACAAATACAGTGATCCCCGCTATATCGCGGCTCAGCTATCGCGCCCCTGCTGTATTGCAAATTTTTCCCCGACGCATCACAGTTCTCTGCCCATCACGTACCTTGCTTGTGATCTGATTGTTGTGAGCAAACTTTTTGTGAACTTTTCGTTTTGTTTTAAGCCCTACGATACTGATACTGGTACTGATACTGAGCTTAAAATGTTTTTTATTTTTACTTATTCCATTACGTATACAGAGAGAGAGAGGTGTATATATACATATACATTATTATTATTATTATTATTATTATTATTATTATTATTATTATTATTATTATTATGTTACTAATATCCTTAGCCCGACACCCACATATATGTGTTTGCAAAGTGTATTTTAATATGTTTACATGTGTTTGAAGCGTGTGGGAGGGGTATTTTAATGCTTAAACTATAAAAAAAATGTTTATACGCTCTTTCTATATCACAAATTTTCACCTATTGCTCATAGTTCTGGAACGTAATTTCTGCGATAGGCGAGGGATCATTGAATATATATAATTACCACAGTTTTAAGTGGACTACTTCATTACTATAAGCAAATTATTTGTTCAGGAATGTATTTGTACAGGAATGATTCTGTCACAAGCTTTTTGATCCATATGAGCGGTTGATCACTATAACCGTGATCACTATAAGCAGTTTCCACTGTAATATATACTTTGTCATTACTATTCAAACTATAGGGGCTCAGTAGGTCATGTTGTGGCCTCAGACCTCAGGGTTCTGGATGTGGTGTTTCCATGTCTGGCCATCAGACTCACTCTCTACCTTTAAGAAACAGTTCCTTTACTAACTGGATTGTTCTTTGAATGCTCTTATACTTCATTGATGTTGCACTTGCTGGCCGTTGCATAGTCTTATTGGGATCTTACTTTAATTTTTTGTTATTAGTTACTGTGTGTGTAGTTGTGTAGCTCTTGAGTAGCTCCTGCTCCAATACTGCTTGCACTTGTACCTGGGCATTCACTGGAAGCTCAACCTGGCTGCACTTGTACCTGGGCATTCACTGGAAGCTCAACCTGGCTGCACTTGTACCTGGGCATTCACTGGAAGCTCAACCTGGCTGCACTTGTACCTGGGCATTCACTGGAAGCTCAGTCTAGCTGCACTTGTACCTGGGCATTCACTGGAAGCTCAGCCTGGCTGCACTTATGCCTAGGTGACTCCTTGTTAGTACGGTTGTTTACAATGTGCTATTTGCCTCACTTTTACGTCACTTTGGATAGAATCATTTGCTAAATATGAGGCAGGGCTCCAGACTAGCTTTTCCAGTGGTAGCACTGGTGTTACCAGCTTTCCCAATTAGTCGCACCAGCACATGATGTGGTTGCACCCTTTTTTTTGGTGCAGCATGGTATTAATCCATGACCTTGCATGCCGATGAATAGTTGTCTTAATTTGCATACCCTAGTTTATGTATTGATGAAACATTGACAGTGACCCACGATACAGCACTGTATTTGTAAAATATTTTATTCTGAACCTTAACTTTAATAACTTAACTTTCATCATCACCCGTCTTGGGACCTTTCTTTGGTTCTCCCTCACCTCCAGCTTCCTCCTCTTTCTGCTATTTTAAAGTAATCAGCTACAGACTTCTTTATTTTTGGAGCATGTTAACGCCACAGCTAGAGACATTGTTTCGCATGTTATATCATCAGTGTACATATATGACTGTCCTGCTGCGTGCAAGCAGGCAGAGACAAACTCCGCAAAAAAAAAAAAGACGCAGTGAGCCAGGAAAGGAAAAAAAAACACTTTCAATCACAATTCATGAATACAGCTCCCACGCCAGAGCAATACATCCTAATATCCATCACATATTCGCACAGATGTCACCATATGAAGTTTTAACTCGCACTCTCAATTAATGGTTGCACGTGTAACCACTTGGTCGCACTCTGGAGGACTGTTTCTGGTGTAACATTGGTTCATGGACTTTGAAGTTCCATGGTTCCATGGTTCCTGACCCATGGTTTGTTCATGCATCCTTTTTTTTGGGGGGGGGGGGGTGAATAAGAAAAAAATGGGAAAAAGATTCTGGGTTTTATTAATCAGTATGGAACACTACAGGTGGTTATTATCCATCCTGAGCTAATGAAACTAGCCTAGCTTTTGCTGCCCAATCAGGATCACCCGTGACACATGCATTTCCCAGGTGTAATACGTAATATTTACTAAACATACAGCTTGTCCTAACTTTAAAAGGGATAATAATTTCATGATTTACATATGTTATAGTGTTAATTGTGAAAGGAAACATGACTTTTGTAGCATTAGTAACATTTTTGGGCTGCAAGAAGAAACCAGGGTACCCAGAGGAACCCAGGAAAGAAGGAAAGAACACGCAAACTTCACACGACCAAAGCAGAGGCAGGATTCAAACCCCCAAGCCGGGAGGTGCAAAAACCATGCTTGCAGTATTTTAAATTACTGTAAATATAATTGATTTATGTGAATACAAACTCATTTAACTGCACCACTGACTGTCTGCAAGAAGAGATGCTGTGCAGCAATTAGATATTTCCAACCAAGACTTACAGCATATAACATTTTACTGATTTCTGGACATTGGTAAGGGCAGCATGGTGGACCAGCACCCAGCCCTGTGGCGCTGATGTCCTGCAGTGGTTATAATGTCTAGAATTGGTATTTTTAAAACAACATGCTCCTATTACGTTTTCTGAACTCAACTTTATGGCTTGCATATAAACACATTTTCTGTTCATACTTCCACAACGCTGAACATGACGAACTGTTTGATTGTTCCTAAAGGCCTTGTGTATATAAGTCCGCCCCCAATCCAAAAGGCATAGAATTCTGCACATCAGTATTCAGTTATCATCACTGACCCTCATGTGAGCCTCATTCCATTAATTTAGGAATTATGAGTAGGGTTGCAAAGGGCTGGAAAATTTCTGGAAATTTTCCTGAAACTTTCCGTTCCATGGGAAGTTAAGCTGGGGAATTTTGGAAATATTCCACATTAGAAACTTTCCATGGGAATTAACGGGAAAGTATGGGAATTAACAAGAATATTCCTAGAATTTTGCAACCCTAATTATGAGACACACAAATGCAATATTTTAGTACAGACAACTGTTACTAGAAGACATCAGGGAGTACAAACTTTCCAGACTCTTTCATTTACAGAACACCTTGCTCCAGAGGAACTACCTATATGCTACTTGAGAAACAGGCAGTGATGAATGAACTCAACATTTCAAATGACTCAGGGCAAGAGTCTAAAGTGAAATGTCATTGTTCTCTTTAGCATTTATAGGAATCTTTGGATTGACTTTATTCTGTAATTCATTTAAACCGTAACAAGGTCAAAACATGATGTCATCAGTGGTCTTTGGGAATTTTCTACTGAATCACTGCAATACAGCAACAGAGAAAAAAACAGATGTACCTTCAAGAATTAAATTTGATGATGGTAACATATAGCCCACATCAAACAGATGTATCAGGAATTTAAGATAGTAAGGTGCAAAACTAAACATCTAATGGATTTTCCGAAGGTTGCAGATTGAATATAGACTACAATTCAAATTGTCCAGTAACAGTCTAATCAAAGAGCTGAAGGAATGTGTAAGACTGGTTAATCTGCAGTGTGTTCTGAAAACAAAGCAAAACAAAACATAACACAAGGCATGTGCCGTGAAAGCAGATATTTAACAAATTAATTTTAGATTATTGTAACGATCATATGCTGTGATACGTGGTGATTTGCATAATCCTGTCTTCATTAAAAAGTAAATGTGTATGTAATATTAAATATACAATTAATATTTCATAGTTGCATTTGATTCCTGACACGAAGTATATATAGTAGTTTGTAAACTATAGGGAAATACACGAAAACGGTTTCTGATGAGAAATATGCTGATATAGATGCACTGAAAATAGGGCATTGCATGGTATTTCATAATTGATTTCTTCAATATAAACATATTGCTATAGGCATTTTGTTAAACTGCTAAGAGCAGTTTGTTTAGGCAAGGAATCTAAATTATTCCATACGCCTAATAATAAAGCTTAAAACGACGCTGTTTGTAACAGTAAAGCGGTAATTTGGCAGGCAAGAGCAGAATATATACTGTAACACGTATAGTGCTGTCTTTGTCTTACGTAAAATTGTATTTAATTTCACATTTTCCCTACAGAGGTTTAAAGCCTTATCTCGTTAAGATTTTATTAGAGATGGATGTCACCTTTCCTCTGATTTCAGCCTTTCACTGGGTGCTGCTGGGGGGCGGTTCTCATTGAGAACCCTTTGTTTCAAACTGACCAACGCCGCCGTGTTAACCACAAAACGCTTGGCTTTATTTGGACATAATCCATTTCAACCAGATTCGTTGCAAATGCACAATGGCCCCATCATTATCCTTTCATTCAAAGCTTGATCGCACGAACATATAACATGTAACAATAACGCCTCGCTAGACAGCCAACCCTCCCACTCCTACCGAGAACACTTCACAATAAATATGAATATGAACTCACCAAGTGTACCCCGATCCGGAATGGATTTTGCAAGCGCTATCCAGGCGATATCAAACAAAAGGAAAAGTAAGAGTAAACGACAGACGCGCAGAGGTGGCATTCTTCTAACTACATCACCATTCCCACGTAGGTGGCCATTTATCCATGTTGTTTTCTGGGCTGCTGGAGTCGACTGCGATCTCACACGGTAGCCCACTCCCATGTACGCCGCCTTTCGGCTTTGCTTAGTCTCATTGTCTTACATGGGAGGAGACGCTGGAGGTTGCAATTGCCCGCGCTGTCCCCCTGCTGGTGCGACGAGGTACTGCGGTCTCTTCAAGAGGCGAAAAAAAATACCCGTTGAAATAAGGTTTATTAATCAAACCGGTCGTTTCCTTTAACCTTTAACACGCCACCCAAATCTGTCTAAAAATGTTTTATTGAGCTGCTACCGATTAGATAAAATGGGAGAACCTTTCAGTGGAAACCATGGAATATGCAAGATACATGGAGTGGATGGCATAATCCGTAATCCTAGCGAGTAAAGTACCACATAGGTCCTAATCATAATAATAATGCAATAAAATAGCCTTTAGTAGCAAGACAAAAACGACGCCACTCTTAAAGGGTAATATTTATTCGGTTTATTTACGCGTGATAGTAGAGGTTTATGCACAAATTTTAAGCAATGTTGTTATACGCCTATATTCTGTAGGCTACAGCTTGCCTAATGAGTTTGTTTAATGCTCCTCCTAGAACTCAAATCTCCGTTAATCTGCATAATATTATCTATGATTATTATAGCGCTGGGCACACCCATTGGGCAGTGCAGCGCATTGCTGGACTGATGCCAAGCGTAAATAATGTAGATAGCTCTGTTTTTATCATGCATTGTGTTATTGTGGTGCCGTATGTTAATGTCGTGTGGTGTTTAATATTAGTTGTGAGTTAGTGTGTTGTTTGACTAGTCAGCATGGTGGGCACTGTGTGTGAGGTATACTGGTGCTTTACTACTGCACCAGAGGAGCTCATGATACGTTAAGGGTCTAGCTGGTGCAAAAATTGATACTGGTATTAAATGACCCTATAATCCCAATGGGTTTTTTTGTACTGAATTTGAATAATGATTATATTAAATTCCTTTTGTTGTCATTGCATCATGAGCAACAAAATTTAGTGTGTTCTCTGAATGGTACATACAGTGTAATTAAAGACAGAATCCTCAAACAGATTTGACACAGCTACACACAGACAACAAAGTAAAAATACAAGCATTAATATAAACCAATAAAACAGTGTCTCTGTATGCATAGGTGTACATACATGGTGGAAGTATACACAATGGTGGAATAGTTCTATTTTACAATAATTGCAATGAATCCCAAGATATTACATTTTTTGTCCCATTGATCCCATGGGTGACAGTGAAAGACATGAGATAAGAAGCTCGCACTTAAATGCAATACACAATTATTTAGTAATAGTTCAGTCCTTTGGTAGTGCTTGGGCAGAAGCTTTTCAGTAGTCTGGAAGTATGCATCTTATTAGATCTGCAATGCCTTTCAGAGTGTTGTTTTTATTTTAACTTTGTTTATTGCTGTTTTTTGAGTTAGTAACTTTTTTTTAAGACAGCGATTGTATTGTGTTTCAGAGGCAGGCTGTTTGCATAACCGACAAAGCATTTGCAAGTCCAACTGAAGTGCCAAATCAGTACCCCAGCTGCTTTAGTACTTCAGGTACTGGAACTTTTGGTACTGAAACTTGACCAGAAGTCCACCTGGTGTGGTGGAAAAATGCCCTTAGAGTGACTGGTATACGTGCAGGAAAGGACTAGACTTGCTAGTTCACCATTGATGTGCGGGAGGCAGCCCTCTGCTTTACTACAGACGTGGTAGTCCTCTAGCGTGACAGTGGCAGCCAGTGCCAGCTGCAAAGGAGGAGAGGACCTAGACCACATCATCAGCGGGGAGGGCATGGCTGCCGACCCGAAAATGACAGTGACTGTGCAAAACTGGCCCACTCTGCGGACTGTGGTGGAGCTGCGCATCTTCCTGAGGTTGACATCATATTACCACGGCTTTGTTAAGGACTTCATTGGAATCCTAAAGCCGCTGCAACATTTTACTGAGCATGGAATTGGTTTTGCGTGGAAGACTTCCTGCCTGGGGTAGTGTGGTGGGTAGTACTGCTGCTTTACACCTTTGGAACCTGGGTTCAAGTCTCTGCTGGGATTCCACATATGTGGAGTTTGCATGTTCTACCTGTGGGTTTTCCTCTGGGTACTCTGGCTTACTCCTCAGTCCAAAAAAAAAAAAAATGCTTAGGCTAATTGGAGTTCCCAAATTGCCTGTAGATGTGAGTGTGCCTTATGATGGGTTGGTGGCCCATCCTGGGTTGTTCCCTGCTTTGTGCTTGTAGCCTCTGGGATTGGCTCTTGTCCCTGAATAGGACAAGTGGTTTCAGACCATGGATGCCTGCATCGCTGCTTTTAACCAGCTTGCCGTTAGTCCTCTCTGATGCTCCCATACTACCCATACTAGCACATCTGGAGCCTCATCTCCATGCATTCTGGACAGGAATGCTAACCAGGGGCTATGCGTAGTGCTGTCGCAGGCAGGACCCAAAGAGGGGTGTGTAGTTGCTTTCTTCAACTGAACTCTGAGTAAGCAGGAGCACAACTACGGTGTGACCCGGCAGGAGCTGCCAGCCATGGTGCAGGCCTGCAGGAGCACATGGTTGTGGACGGACCATGCATTCCTCATGTGGCTCCTGAGCTTTTACAACCCAGAGTGACAGCTGGCCCACTGGTTAGAGATGCTGGCAAAGTTCAACTTCAAAGTCCAGCATCGCCCTGGGAAGCTGCATGGGAGTGTGGATGCCCTGTCTCACTGGTTCTGCATCACCATGATCTGTCACCGCTGCTGCCAGGCAGAGGAACAGGCCCAGCTCTCTGTGGTGGTGGCTGCTGCCTGCACAGTGTAAAGCAATGGGGCTCTGCAGGACATCGATCACCAGCAGCTCGTTGTGGAACAGCACAGTGACCCTGTGCTGGCCAGGGTGAGGGAGCGGCTGAATGAGGCCGGGCGACCGGGCTGGGAGGCGATACGGGCCTCTGGCCCAAAGACTAAGGCCTGGAACTCCCAATGCGGCACCCTGGAGAAGCACGAGGGTCTGCTGTACAGGCAGCATGGAGCATATAGGGGTGGACTTCCTGGACTCCTTTCCCCGTACCCAAGCTGGGAACTTCTACATACTTGTGGACATGGACTACTCTACAAAATGGCCGTAGGTGTACACGGCTCCTGACTGGAGCACCACCAACACAGCGATGGAGTTCCTGGAGGAGTTTTCCTGCTGCTTCCCCTGGTCCTGTGGGCTTATCGTGCAGCAATGCAGCAGAACATCAGCAGACCCCTGTATTTGACTGAGCTCAGAACCCCACTGGAACTGGTGTTTGGCTTGTCCACTGCGCCAGAGCTGCCAGTTCACACCAGGGCTAGACTATCTGGACCAGATCCAGGAGCTTGAGTGGACCATGATCTTAAAACACTCTAATTGTAGGCTATCCCCAGAACAGCTTGGCAAAAAGCATTGGCAACCCACAGGCAAATAATAACTGTGAAATAAATGCAACATTGTGCTTATCTTTAGAGGCACAGCCATTATTGGATCTTCTTATAGATATTACTAATTACAATAGATCATATTACAATGCATGCATTTTAAACAAATTGTATCATTTCAAATGTGGATTGCCTTAAAATTCACCTCGGAGTTATGGCTTCATATATTACACATATGACTTTGAATACAAACAATAATCGGAAATGTCAGTAAATTAAAAAATATTTATAAGAAATTTGTATCACAAATTGGTTAAAATGAGAAGCCTTTGATTTTTCATGTAAACACCTTGATATACTGCATTTCTTCTGTTTGATAAGCCTACAAACTCCATTGTATTATTGCATTGTGTATTATTACAACTATATGTTAACACTTAACAAGAGGCATTGAGTACATCCACCATATATTTCTATAGTGGATGTCCATCCACGACAACTTTTCTAATGCAAGTTGTCCTGAGCCAGTAACACAAATTGCAATAGGGATGTAATTGTGGGCTACTGTTTCTCTTATTCATGGCAACAGGACATCCCATAATTGGCAGTGTCTAACAGTGTTGTTCCTTATAAAAAATGTAAGTTTGCAGTAAGACTGTTTTTTCACAGTGTTCCCAATACCACCCAAATTGGAAGATCTGCTGAATATTTATTTAAACATAATTGTCTCTTAGGGAATGAGATATCTTAAAAAAAAAACAAAAACTAATAAATACTTAGAGTTAGGGTTGCCGCTAGTGTTTTTGTACTTTATTTTGCTTCAGTGCAGCCAGCTGTCTAAGTGCATTAAAACGCCCTCTATGGAGAAGTTGGGTATTACCTCAAACTGACAACCTTAACCCCCACCCAGCCCTAACCATAACCATAAGTAACCAAATAAAATACAAGAGTTTTTGCATTTTTAGTTTTTTCATAGCAGTCACTGATTTTTATAAAATTGAGTTTTCCCTTATGGGGACCAGGAAACCGGGTATTCATTAAAAAACCGGGTATTCATTATGTTGTGGGGACATTGTGTCCCCATAAGGATAGGTATACCCGCTCTCACACACACACACACACACACACAAATGAAACATTTTAATGGACATTAACCAACTTCTTCATGGCCCTCACCGGATGCCTGTGGTGCCTTGAATCAAATTATTTAGGTTTACAAAATTATAAAGTATATAGGTTTTCATGTGTTAATAGCTAATACTAAAGTATACCCTGTAAATAGAAAGTGCATTTTGAAAGGCTTATGAAGTGTTTCAGCTGATATTCACAATTGTGTCATTAATAAATTGAATTGATTTGCCACACCTATTGGTAGATAGCATGGGAAAGATTTCTTACTGATGCAGGACCACAAGAGGGAGTTCTGCTCAGAAAGAGAGCTGCATACAGCTTTTTACAGATCCACACTCTACTACGGTCCCTCCCCATTAACCCTGCTGATTTCCCACTGCATGCGCTTACATAAATGTATATGTGCGTTCTGGCAGTAGGTGAAGCAGCGGCACGAGCCGCTCAGCAGGGGGCAGCAGGAGACTTGCTAACGGCTGTCTAGTCTTTCTTCCAGCTCCACGTGAGTAAAAGCCAGTCACAGTCAAGCATCACATGACCGATCTTGACCTGTAGATCCGTTGTAGTCCAGCA